GCACAACCGATTCGTTTCCCCGAATTGCAGCTGCTTGTAGTGCATTACCATTATAGCCACCCCGAGCATTCACCTCTGCCCCACGCTCGAGGAGAAACCGCACAACCGATTCGTTTCCCTGAATTGCAGCTGCTTGTAGTGCATTGCCATACCTGCCACCCTGAGCATTCACGTTTACTGTATCCGCTTTTCTATTGACTAGGAATTCACAGGCAGTTACTAAATTTAACAAGGAGGAATAGTAGATTGCTGGTGGGTAGGGCTCGGGGTCGGGGGAGTAAAGGTCGTCAGGATTATATATATCTAGCCACTCCTTGCCAAGCTCGAGAACCTTCACCACCGCGTCGGAGAGTGGGGCGGGTGCCGGATCCTCAATAGATCTGGTATACACAAACCAATAGCGAGCACTGTGGTAGAGAAATGATTTTTTCTCAACCCTTTTCCCGCTTATAGTCCCCGGTGCACTATGTCGCAGTATTCGGCTGAGACAAGCATGCCCCATTAGTAAATTAGCTTTATCGTCCGAAATATGACAGTAGGCACTAGGGCCCTGAGCCGCCCGGTCGGAGACCAAATATTCCTTCACCGAGAAATGTGCTAGTCGTAATCGGCGGTCTTCCTGGGGGGATGATTCACCGGCCCTAGCGTCTTCGAAGGAAATTAGGCTAGGGCAAATGCTGAGGAGGGAGCTCTGCTCAAAAAGTGTTTTCGAATCGTGGCCATATTTGTTGACATCATATTTGATCACAATGGCCTCCGCAAGCTGGCCTAATGTCAATGGCTCTACCGAAAATGCGAGCCAATTCATTGCTCGTCGAATATATTCCTTTTGCCTCTTAGGGATGCTATCCAGGATCCTCAAGTAGACGGAGTCTAAATCTTCCGGGAGCTCCTCCAATGCTTCTCTCACGTCTTCTGGCGTTATGCATTCCTGTAGGACTCGCAAGAGACAATACACCCATCGGAACCTTTATATATCCAACCTTGTATCAGCGCAAGTCAAAAATACAAAAGGTAGAGAATAACTTACATTCCTTGTGAACGAGCAACGAGTCTTTCCTCTATCTCGCTCTTAATTTCCTTGGTAAATTTCTCGAAGTCGTCCTTGCCGTCTAGGGAGTTCCGTACATATGCCCGGATATCCGGATCGATAGTTTTCGATTGCAGCGGTATTGGGAAAGTAGCAAGCGGTTCTATTGATTTCACTATATCGGCCTCAGGGCGGCTGGTGACTAGAATGGAAAGTGCTCCCTTATTATGATCAACTGTGAGCTCGGTGATCCAGGATAGAAGGCTCTCTCGTGTATCCTTGGGAAATTCATCTAAAGCATCAAGAACAATAAATGTCCTTTTAGAAATCCTTATCACCTGCAACAATGCAGATTTTAGAGCCTTGATATCTACTGATTTTCCAATTGCCTCGGAACTGTGGTACAGGTTCAGAACCTCATCGGGGAGAATCCGATCCGAAATTCCCTCCAGTAGTTGGCCCAAGATCGACAGAAGCATATTGAGCAGATTCTGCTTCTCCGAATCGCTGAAAGTAAAGTAAAAATAGGCTAATGCGTGGTCGTCATTCGTGTTGCACACATTTTTGGCATCTTCAATGGCAGTAGCACTAAACATTGAGTTAGCAATTAGGAACCCATATTGAGCCTCCGGATATCCACTTAAGTTCGTACCTTAGTACACTCTTGCCACATCCGGCTACACGATTCGAATGTTAGTGACATTCTAGGGATATTAAGATTTCACTCGTCTGTACACTTACGTATTCCATAGAGCCAGAGAACCCCCCCTCTGCCCTCCTTCCAGTCGATGTACTCAGGTCCCTCAAGCAGCCAATTCCCTGTGCCTGGTTGACGAACAGAAAGTGCATATGAATAATTGGCCCCAGGATCAACAACGTTAAGCCATTTTAGTACTTTTCGGAACTCTTTCTCTAGTGTTGTAGAAAGATCTAGTGTTAGCAATAAAATTAACGGGTATGGTTAGGAATGGTGTAACCAAGTACAGTACCATCTAGTTTCCGCGACATCTTTGTTACAGTCTCCCTGAACAGCCAGTTAGCCTTGACGTCTGAAAAGAGAAAAGGAAGAAGAGAAGCCAGATCCTCGGGGGATTGAAGAACGGATAACATACGCTGTGGCTGTAGCCAATAACAGTCGAAGTTTCGATCTCTGCTCCTCGAGCAAGCCCAGGTAATGCTCCATCTTGGGTTTGTTAAAAGGCCAAAGCAACTTGGTCGAGGATCTCTGTTCCGGAGGATTTAACTTCTTCTCCAGCTTCTCAAGGGCTGTCTTATAGTCTTCCAAACTTCCATTTTTTGTCCATGCAAGAAGCTCAGGGTATTTCGGGTTATCCTCATCGCCTTGCGCAGCAAGGCTTTGGATTTCCTTCAGTTGACGGTCAATACTCATAATTTCGTCCCTCAGTTTCTTGAGATCCTGATCGCTCTCCTTGACTACATTGCGGTAGTCATCGCAAAGCTTGTAAACCTTCACGCCGAGGTGGAAGAGGGCAACGCCACTGGCAGCTAGAGAAAAGGGTTCTGCCATTTCTTTTCTTAACGGATGCTGTGGGCCTAAGAGGGGAAGCTTAAAGGTGTGGATATGATAGATCGCTATCTTTCAGTAGCGAAGGATAGGCAAAAACAGGTGTTTGGTTTTAAGGTGGATGGTCCTTGGAGCGTCGGGCGCTTTTAGGTTATGCTTTTCGACAGCGGATTTGAGGATGAGGTGGGAGACTGCTCATAGAGGGTGTCTTTTTTAAGATTTCCAAGAGCGGGGCTCCAGAATGCCAGCACCTACACTCAAGAACTGGAACTGCATGCGGAGTCGTGATTGGTGTGACCGCAAGACAAGGATCACTCGAGGACTCAAGTGCTGTACTGTACGGTACATGTACCGTACAGCACTCACCTACAAAGATTGGCGGAAAGCGTAAACGACCGCTGCCTGTTTTTGCAAAGTTGAGTCGAGCCGGAATCAATACCTCTATCGGTACCAGAACTACCATGACAGGCTCCTGACCAGTTCACTTACCACTATAGCTGGTTTACCTAACAAAAGCAACATGAGAGGTATTCAGCCGCCGTGTTGAAAAGGCGATGGGGAAATCTACACACCCTTCGTAGCCCTAGAGCTGGAGGCCTCTACTCGAGTAACAGTGTGGAGGGGGCATGGGTTTACTGTACGAGTACTGCCGTAGGTTACTGTTTAAATTGCATTTGGTGGGTGCCCTGGCGCATATTCTTCTATGTACGAGTACTAAAAAGGTCGAATCCGGGTTGATTTCAAACCACAAAAAGAAACAAAGGAGAAGCTTTATGTGCCACACTCACATCAGGAAAAGAGAGCAGATACCCAGATGGATGGAGAAACGGAATAGCAGCACCATCCTGTGCCTGTTCTCGACTCACAATTCCTCCGCTTTCAAATACCCTGGTTTCTCTAGTTCACACAAATCGTTCGAGTCCATTCGCGTTGGTGGATTGGACTCTGGCGTTTGTTGCTCAATTCTCTCATCTCGCACTCTCGTCTTGCACACAAACGCACACTTGCAGAAAAGGGTAAAATCCAGGGTATCATAAAATAAACAGAGGAGTGACACACCCACATCTGACACCCACCATAGGAGGATGACGCGCACAGCATATCGACGGGAAATTACCGGTAGCCTAGACCACATTTACTCTCCATCTTGATTGGATTGAGCTCTTCTCTTTTGCTTTTACCCTCACGGGTGTGTTACACGCTCACCACATCCGGACAATTATCTGCATTGTACACGAAACAAGTATCCTATGGGAAATCGCAAGATCACAAACAAACCATTTCCATGAGATGCACCTCGGTCGTGCTATCCAATACTTGCAGCTGACCGATACACTTCCACACCTGTGTTGTCCAAGGACCAGTATTGAAATAGCTTCCTTCAGTACCAGTATTGTGCCGTAGAAGGCAATCTGCTATCAAGTGACCAACGAATCTTGTGCGGCTCCATGGACCCTCATGCAGGAGTTTGGGCTATTGGTGCGGGCTTTGCTTCCCCATTTGGGGCCCCGCAGGAATGCCGCCTTCTTCCCCGCTTGCGTAGCCTTCTTGCCAAGTGTGGGGGCCCTTGGCATGGATGGTACTTGCGCCCGCAATATTCAGCTTTCCCCCGCCACCCCCACCCCACACCTAATGGCCGCCCAGTGAACTTTCCTTCTATCCTTACACCCATTTTCCCCATTAAATTTTCAAGGCACCGATATCCCAAGAAGGGCCCAGATCCAGATCACGAGAGCATCGCCAGGTACCGTATGCTTGTTACACTGCCTGGTTTCCATATGACAAACAGACGCAGCCGCAATGTGGAGCAAATCTCCAGTGCTCAGTTCTTCGAGTTATTCGAAGAAGAAAAAATTGCTCCGTGAAAACAGTCGGAGTTCAGGCTGGATCCCCAACTGGGAAAAAAATCTCTTAGCAAACCCCAGGACTGACAACCCCCGAGAAAGGGATGCCAATAGCTATGATACCCGGATCTACATTTCATTTTTTCACGCATTAGCATGGGTACAAGTGCCGTACTGTACGGTAATGTACTCAAGTACCCACATCCTCGTACCAGCAGGGAGGCGAACAGACTATGAGTATTAGGGCGCGTCTGGTTGCCACCTCAAACCTTCATTTTGACCCCCGTTATGAAGGTTTGTCACAAAATGCTATTTTGCTCTTGAGCGGCATGTCTGGTCGACACCAAAACAAAATATTCAAAATGCAATAATGATGTCAAAATGAAAGGTTTCTGAAATACTGGTCTGACCAGTATTTCACAAACTCTCATTTTGGAGCTGCACGCATTGGCTACAATAACCCACTCCCACTACCAATAGTGGAGCAAAAAAATTAAAAAATTAAGTTTTGAAATACAGGTGCCAATGTGTTTTGCACATTAATTATTCTGGTTTTTTTTGAGTGACCTTTTTGGAATTGATTTTTCAGGTGACCAGACACACCTCTGGGAGTATGAAAACTCCCAATTATAACAACTTGCAATTATTTCAGTTGCAGCCTGGAAATCAGGTTTTGTGATTATCAAGGTTTGAAAAACTCGGGACAACCAGACGCGCCCTAAGCAACAATGAAACTTAGGCAGTTTTTGAGCCTCATACTGTTGGGGGCCGGAGAGTGCTTAGCGCAGAGCCGCATATCACAGAGCCTCCCCCACGTGATTTCCACTCAGCACTCAATCGCAATCAACCGGGAACCTTTCCCCTACTTTCGAACAGATACTCCCTACACCAAGGCCCCGACAGCGGAAGAAGGATTCGGAACTAGCGCTATTTTCACGACAGCGCCGCTGAGCTCTGCGCCCTCGCTTACCCAGACCCTGGTTTTTCTAAATGATAAGCGTTGCATCGATTCCCAGCAACCATATTCCCCAACGTTGTCGCTTTGACAGTCCTTCAACTTCTCGAGTCCCTTCCCTCCTAGAAGCCGCTAGGTGTCCAGGTTAGCTCTCTAGCCGACAGTGGTGAAATTCGTGAGAAGGAGGAATTGCCGTCAGGAGGAAAAAAATCTTTGGGGAACTTTGGAACTGACGACATCAAAAGCGGTGATAATCGCTACAGACCCGAATCTGCCCCCTCTCCTGCTCACACTCACTAGGATTTCGACATCTCGATAACGATTGAACGCTATGCCTCCTTCTAGTTGTTTGGATTTTTTCTTTTCATGGCCTCAAGAGTTTGCCGCCATTGTTAAGTTGGAGACTGTTTATTCGCCCCAGTGCTTTTCACCATTTCTTTTGGGCCTCTAATTCTGCCATTCGTTCGCCGGGAATCCTATCTGGGGCGAGAGTATCCAATCCTCCACCAGGTCAAGCCGCGCTACCACTCTATATCCCGGGTCTCGCAGGACCAGTTACCTCACCGTCCTCAATGAGGCGTGCAGCCCCTGAACTTCTTCCTCACCAAAGCCCCGCCTCCCATCCTGGGCTACTCGCTTTACTGGACGGATGGCTTGTATTTCGGCCGTCAAGTTCAACGACAGGGAGGGCCCGACAATGCCCTCCCGAACCACACCTCCGTTTCTATGGAATCTGGTTCTCAGGCTGCTGGGCCGGGTGTTTGAAGCGAACTCGGTATGAGTGTGCCTATAGGTGGGCAGGGGAAGCGAGAAAGGAATTACCTGCATAGAAAATAGACTCGGCAGATAGAGGTTCGAGACCTGGACCCCCGTACACCTTACTGTTTACAATGCATCTGGAATAGATTACTCCCCCCCACCTGCCCTCCACCCCAGCCAACCACCACCAAACAGCGCACGTACCAGAGGGGGGCTACGAGCAGGGAATATTAGAAAGGAGGAGTCGATAGGCACACTTCTCAAAGGGAAATTGAGGACATAGATGGTGTGGAGAGTGGGAAATATGGCAAACGGGTAGCGGTGCGTAGGATTGAATGAATAAAAAGTTCACCGCTTATGCAGGGAACAAAATGTGTGAAAGAACTATCCAAATTATAACTTAATACGTTGGGTTCGGTGATAACCAAATGGTGATAGGACTCTGAGATTTTCCATTTATTTATATACCTTTACCCTACCTATTCCACTGGGCTATCAAGCGGGCTCAAAATTAATAAGACCTGTATCATACCCTCGGTATGGAAGAGGTCACTGATGTTAATAATCAATCCCAGCTATTTTTTTCCCGTCAAAGGCCTGAATTTAATGGTCTACACTACTGACGGAGCGGGTGGACGGGAGCGAGATTCTTGATCCAGGTTTCCACACCCCCGCCGGTTCCCCACAATGAAACCCCTTTTCAGAACCATTACATGCTTTCATTTAGCGACCTAGAATATAAGCAGGAGCCATAAATGGTCTAACAGACAGTCGGCAACTCTTCCTACCTTAATATCTTGAGCCCGGCACTGGTTTCACTAGATATAAGGCGCAGCCACTAGCCTTGGTGAAAAATCGATGGTCTTTCACGGCTGCATCGTGCTATTCCGAATGGCCAACATCTAGGAATTGAGCTCAGTTGGGTTCGGGATATTGGCGCGGGAATTCTTTCCCCATCAGTCTCAATGCCCCCACCGCTTCAACATTCGCTGCGCCACCTTCGAAGGCAGCACTTCCCGGGAGTGCCTATCACTCCAGCCTAGCACCAGCCCCTCTCACACGCAAGGGTTCAATGCTTATAAACCTCCTGACTTTTATTCCTATCCTCTGCCACTTTATCCTGGTACTTTGTATTTAATTCCACGGCTTTTTGGCTTTTTTGTGGCTGCCTTTCCTGC